GACCACATAACAACACAAGACAGTCGAGAAAGCTGCTAGAGAAGTTTAGCACGGCTTCTAAAGATTTTCCCCAAGCTGCTAAATCCAGGGGGAAGAAGAAGAAAACGTCGACTGCGCCACGAAGGGGCTGGAGAAAAAAAAAGAAGAAGAAAAGAGGGCTAAGATTGCCACAATTTTACGGGTACGGTATGGTACAGGATAGCCCAGCTCTCTTCCAAAGGTTCTTTTTTTCTTTTGGCCAGGGCTGTGAGCAACAGCAGATCCGAGATTATTTCGGGCCGGGCATGTACCTTGTCAGTTACCGAGAGAGAACGCTGTAGCCGGGCATTTCGCCCAGATGTGCCGAGCCGACTGTGGTCGTAGATACGGGATGCTACTCCGTGAGATTTCTAGACTTGCCGATGGAAACGAGGCCGTGGGGACTCGACTCCACGACGGCGTCTTGGGCGATGACATGCTGTTGGACCGAGTCTTCTTTTTTTCTACTCGGTACCGGTTTTTTCTAGTTTTTCTATTTTTGCTCGACGCTAGTATTTTACTAACATTGCGCCCATCTTTGTCGTCTACGGATGATTTCTGGCAGACGCCGCTTTCCCTCTGTCAGGCACCGGATCCGGTCATTTTGGCCGGCTTTCTATTTTGAGACCGGCGGGAGTTTGACGAGGCTGGCTTCAGGCCAGAAGTACGAGGTAATCCCTACTGCCTACGGGTCGGTAGTGTAGTATTCACTTTCTGTATAGATCCGTAAACATGGGCTGTTGAACAGTTTGTGGAAACACGTGCACCACAAAGGAACGGTTCCAATTGTTGCTCCTCGCTAAACCGCCTTGTACCGGCAACTTCAAGCAGATGCCACCGTATCTGCATTCTCGTACCGCTAGGATTCCTGACAATTAGGTTCCATCACCGATTGCCCGTTGCAAGTATCGTATGCATGTTATAGAGCACGCCGCTGTGCGCAAGCTTCTGTATCGCTAGCTCGCCAACGCCAAGCATCACGTTCCTCCACAAAGAGAATCCAGTCCCCGTCCCGCCGGGCACACCGCCATTGAAACAAAGGTCACAATGCAGCATGGCCGCCTCTTGGCACTTGGGGTAATGCAGGCACGACGTGTAGAACCCACCGAGATGCAACCAAGGGGTGGAGATGGCAGCAAATGGTTCCCAGTGGACGAGTCGTCGCTCGAATCATGTCGCCTACCCTGTACTCGTGATGTGCAATTTGAGGTTGAGCAACAACACGCCAACCATTGATACATGCGGTCGAGATATACACGTCCAACTCTTTGGCTGCGCATTGGGAATCATGCTTGCTATAGATAACCTTGGTGGGTGTTGTGTCGACTAAGGTCTCAAGTCCCCCCTATTCTCATTGTGTGCTTACACGAGTATAATCGACAAACAGCAACGGCGCCACCAACCAAAGCGCACCACAAGCAGCTGCAAGTAACACACAAGCCGAGACAATTAAAGTTGAAGGGGCCCGTTGCGACGTGGCACAGGAATTCTGGCAGCTGGGCGGAACCAATGGAAGCTTGCTCATCCAGTTCATGTATGCAGATGTGGATAAGTCTGGAGCTGTTTGCGCGGTGCATGGACTGTCATTTTATTCTTCTCCAGTTTACCACACACTTTCTCTATGACTCGAGTCACGGAGCAAAGGATGGATGAGTATCTCAATGGAGTATCGTGTATCTATATGAGAAACACATGTAGAACCCACTGAGGGAAAACAAGAGAAACGAGACATGATCAGCATACAAGCCGAGTTGCTGCACCAGTGAAATCCAAGGGCTGTGGTCTCGGCTCCATCCGTGCCCAATGGGAGAGAATGAAGATGAATCGATGCGTGCTGGCTAGCTGGCTGATGCCTATACACGTATCCAGCTCATCCCTCTCAGCAAGGCATGAACAGTCAGAGGCTCGGCTGCCTCTTTTTATTTTATTTTATTAATTAAAATATTATCATTAAATTTTTTTTTAATTTTCCTTCTTACTTCGGCTGGCTTGCAGGAGGCGCAAATCGATCGGCCGAGATACGCGCGATCGAGGGGGGAGGGGAGATGTCTCACAAGAAAAAAAAAAACAAAAAAAAAACAGAGATAACGCTGCCCCTTTTCTTTTTCCTTGTTTATTTTTATTCTCAGTCTCTTTCACATCTTGTCTCAGATCAATGTACATTTGCTTTTCCCTTCTCCTTTGTATATTCCTTCTCGGCCGTCTTCAATCCTCCAGTCTCGCGGCATCCTGTAGTGGTGCTTGTTTGGGCCACCTCAGCCAATCGGGCTGCTGCCCCTTGCGAGCTGCCCCTGATCCCCTGCCGCGTGCGCTGGAAAAACTTGGAAAGGCTGCAGGGGAGGCCCCTGTTGCGCCGCGAGGTACCTCTACTTTTGGTGCCTGTGCCTGTATTCCGGCCGGGCGGCGCTCGGAATGCTGGTGGACACGCTAAAACAGCGAACACGGCGTCGACGCCGAGAGCTTGTAGATAAAGTACTTGTACATGGGTGATTGCAGCAGAGAGAAGAGGAAAAAGAACCTTGAAGAGCTGAACTCGATTTACACCGAAACTCTTCGCCTCGCTAAGAGAAGAAAAAAGAAAAGAGATCAAAGGGATCAATGCAAGGCACGAGTCTCGGCTGCTGGGAAATTGGTGCCATGCAGGCCGTCGTCGTACGAGCCAGATGCAACGCCTCTGTGAGGTGGCACATGAAGAACCCCGGTTCATGCATCCGGTGAAGCTGCGCGTCCAAGACACCATGTACAGAGCCTCAGCTTGATAGGACGAGAGAGACAAGCAACGCAGGTCCAGAGGCTTACACGCAGCATTGGCGGGTTTCAGAAGGATCAGCGCTACTCTTCGGGTGCCGTGCGAGCTACACAGCTGATTTGACGGGGGAGGTTCAATGGGTCATACCAAGCAATGTTCCTTTGTTAGTACGGAGTCCCAGTCCGGTCCAGGTGGCAGCATTTTCTGATGGATCAATGGAAAATTCAATGGCTGTGCACCACGTTGATGGGCGGGACAAGAGCCCACGGGTCCTTGCATGGGGGGACATCCCGAGAGGTGCAAAGCGGCAAACAAGGCCGAACGAGGGATCAGCGCTGAACTGGATCTCGATGCCATCAGTATGACATGGTGCCAAGCAGGGAGGCTCCAGCCAGTAGCGCCGGAAGTGAAGGGAGATTTGGACATGTATGGATACTAGTATTAGGAATGAAAACCGCGCAAAGTCTGGTATTGACGAGAATACGATGAATGAATAAATGGTGTCGTACTTGTAAGTGAGAACAACCTCTTGATGTAGTACTGCTTTGGCGGGCAAGAGGCGTAGGTACCGGTACCAATGGAACAAAGCACCGAGTAGACGATGGAGGGCAAACGGCTCTTGTATGGAAAGTTAAAAAACAAGACTAACGGGCACAGATTAAGATGCAGCTGCTTTGTCCAACGCAGCTAGGCCAGGATCAGGATCAGGACCAAGGAGGGCAAACGGCTGGGCCTGGGCTTGGGCTTGGCCTCTGTTCCGGTCGCAGCGCTGTCAGCGGGTGTCGTGGTTTGATGTGGTGTGACGGGGGTTCCTTTAATCAGATTTGATAGTGCCCAAGGTAAGTCTGGATAGAGGGAGAGTAAGAGGAAAAGAAGAAGAGAAAAGCTGAGCTGAGCTGAGCTGAGCTGAGCTGCCTCAGAAGTGGTTTGAGGAGGGGGTGGAAGGGAAGGGAAGGGCCTTATCTTGGTCGAGGCGAGTCCATTTCCTCTGCTGCATCAACCATCACGTAGCATCTGCATCTGCATCTGCATCTGTATACATGCATACAGCCCTGTCTCTCTGCCTTTTCTCCCTGCTTGCTGCTTCAGGCCGTTATCTGCTTGCTTTAGTAGTGCTTGTCTGCTGTTTGTGTGGCTCGGCTGCCACACACTTTTTTCCACTGGCGGCTCCTCGCATCCGGCATTTGATAACACCAAACCTCACACTTTCACTCACTCACACACTCACACACTCACACCACAACCCATTCTAACCATCTGTCTACCTGTGTTGTGAATAGAGAAGCAGACAGACAGAGAGAGATAGGGAGAGAGAGAGGACATCAACAACACCCCCAAATCAACTAGCGGGTTACACCAAAGACCGCAATCATCATCACGGCCGTCATCTTTTATCTTTAGCATCAATCAGCATCATCCATCAGCCCTCGTCAGCATCAAATCCTCCCCGTTAGCGCGCTCCAGTCCGTCTGTCTTTATCCGCCCACTAATACGTCCCAAGTGCCTCCGTACTCCAAAAAAGAGGCACTTGACGAGTCGAGTCGAGAACTCCTAGTTTCGTACAGGTACTTTGCGTGCCTTAGCATCAAAGTCTTTTGAGCCTTTGGGATTGGAACGGGCCACGCCGCTCCGGCCACTATTGCGCCTTGCCGCCGAATCTAAACCACAAGTTTTTTTCCTTTTTCCCCTTCTGGTTTTATTCCTTTTACCTCTTTTTACTTTACTTTATTGCTTTTATCCTTTGTTAGCCATCGCACAAACCGACGTTTTTGTGGTGGGGCTTTTGTTAGTTGACGGAAGGCTGCTGATGTTTTGAGCCTTGTTCATCACTCGTCCTCCATCGTCGGCCAATTTTTCGTTGTTGCGTCTTTGCTTTGATCGCCCTTGCACTTACAGACAGCCATACCTGTATCCGAACTCGATCTATTTTAACCAGAGCCTCTTTTGTAAAAAAGATAAAAAGAGAAGAGAAAAGAACACCAAAAACACATCAATTGGACAGTCCAAGCCATACAAATACGCCGTCACGAGCCTGGATCCAGACCCTTGGCGGGCTTCTCATGTCTCGGCCATCACGCGCGCACCCAATCCAGCGAGATACGCTCCAGCTCACCCACCTGACCATCCCGGATAGAGACGCAACGGGGGGGCACATACTTGGACTGGGAGTAGCGTAGAGGGCATTCTTGGGTCGATATACTAATACGAGGTCGCATTCCCTCGGCCGCTCGCCATGCCAGTCGCTGAAGCAGACGCCGAAGCTGCTGCGTCAGTGGAAGCTGTTGCTGCTGCTTCGACAAGCTCGCCGCCTGCTGGGCATGACGATACCATCAGCAGGCTCGCCTCGCCACTCTCGACGCCAACAACCGCCACGAGCCCCGTGTCGCCGACTTTCCTGTCTGTCGCCGGCCGGGTCAGCACGCCCTTGAGCCTGTTCATCGACTCTGCGCCCAGCAGCGGCAAGAAGAAATCGGCCACCAGCCCCGAGTCCGAGTCTGCTGCGGCGGTGCGTCAGCGTTATCTCGCCATGTCGCCCACGGCGTCTGCCATTGCGCCGGGCGCTGCGAGCGCCGACGCCGCGGAGTCCAGGCTCGCAGAGGCCGGTAAAACAGCAGCAGAGGCAGATGCGGATGCAGATGCGGAGAGCCTGCGACATGCGCTGCGCCAACAGGAACGAGAGCGAGAGCAGGAGCAGGAGCAGGATCAGGATCAAGAGGAGCAAGACGAGGCGGGCTGGAGAGAAAAGAACCTGAGCACGAGCGCAGGCGCAGGCGCAGGACCACCGCTGCCGTGGTCGCCCAGCAGCACGACGAGCAGTTCTAATGTTAACATTAATGCGAGCATCACTGCCGCCGCCTCTCTCTCGCTGTCTCCCACCGCTGGCGACATTAAGCATGAGCATGGCCTCTCCAGAGGCGTCATTTCCGCTCCCCTGCCCCAGAGCCCCAACCGACACGAGCGCCCCTCGATTTCTGCCCGGGATTCGGACATCGCGACGCTGATTACGGGTGCTAATATCACTGCCGCTACCACCACCACTAGCATTGCCACCGTTGCCAGTCATACTGCTGCAGGCTCTCGAGCGGCCACCGTTCGTATCCCTGCACCCGCACCCGAAGAGGCGCCATTGCATACGGGCAGCGTGCAGCCGGGCACCAAGCTGGCCCATCCAAAGCCCATCCTGCACATTGCTACCGACGTCTCATCGCCGTCGAAACACAGTCACCACCACTCCGACCTGCTCACCCGCTCCGCGTCAGCCGTCAGCAACGTCGCCCATCTCGAAGCCACGGCCGAGCGCCTGTCCATGACCAGCAGCATCGACGATGCCATCCGCGAGCTGCACTGCGAACTGAAGCGAAGCGACAGCAGACGATCCTCCATCCTCGCCGCCAGGGCCGCCTCCGCCGACGAGCACTCGACACGCCTGCGACGATATCCCTCCAACTCGTCCTCCTCCGCCGCCGCCGCCGCCCGCCAAAGGGGCTACTCTCCCGCGTACGTAATGTCACCCACAAACTCCCTCTCGGGTCGCATGCGATCGGGCTCCAACGCCTCAGCCGGCCGTCCGGAGCACGAGGTCATCAACTCCATCCTGTCCCGCCACGGCCCGGGCAAGAGCTCCGTCAGGAGCGTGCGGTCGGCCAAGCCCTCGCTGGCTGAGATATCCGAGTCCGAGCCCATCTCCCTGACCCAGCACGTGCTCGACCAAGTCGACGCCGTGCCCCCTTTTGAGCGCGCCGCCGCCGCCAGCTCCAGGAGCATCATCGAACAGGACGCTGTTGACGTCCCGCAGACAGACGAGTTCCACAACATGCTCGAGGGCGGCTTTCGAAGCCACAGGGCTTCCAATCTGGTCCTCGTAAACCCGGACCTGCCCTCTGACCACGACGACCACGACGACCACGAGGCCGAGCGGCCCATGACGGCCAACTCCACAAATACCTTCCAGGTGGCCCAGGACGCGTTTGTCGACTTTGACGGCGCCCACTGCGAGACGGACAACGAGGATGATCGTTTCGCTACGGCCGACATGGGGTCGCGCTCGCAGAAGCGAGACAGGCTGTCCGACGTCCACCAGCAGCCTCCTCCTCCCCGGATGCCCCAATCTCTGCCCCAACCTCCTGTCGACGATGAGTTATTCCTGCCCACCCCCCAACAGTCCTCGGCCGAGTTCGTCAGGCCGCAGTCTTACTTTGACCACCAAACCGGCCAGCACATGCTGTTTTACCCGGCTCGTGTCCCTGCCATGCTCAACCTGCCGCCCAAGCTGTCCAGCAAGCCCAAGGCCACCGACCGGAACCAGCGACGCTCGGAGATCCTCGGCGCCATGATGCAGCCCAAGGAGAACAGGAGGAAGTCGGTCGTCCCCGACCTCGACCAGTTTGCCCTGCCCGACCCTCTGTCTGGCCACCGCAACTCCTTTGCCGCCCTATCCGTGGCGGACAACCTGGACAACGTCGACGATGCCACCACGCCCACTCCGTTCCTTGAGGAGCCCGCACCTCAATCCCGGAATGGATCCGCACCCTCCCTCGAAGATCTTCGCCGGTCCCAGCGGCTGTCCAACACTGAAAAGCACCAGTCAAATATGCCCAACCTCGAAAACATCCCCCCGCACCTCCGAGCCAGCGTCTTCTTCGATCAGCCATCTCTCGAGCTTCCCGAGATCGAGGTCAAGGATGGGTCAGCCATGGCTACGCTCGACAGCATTCTCGATGCTTCAGCCACTGCTCCCGTCAGTGCCTTTACCGATCACCTGTACGCTGGCAAGCTGGGCAATGAAACCTACGGCAAGGAGAAGAAGAAGAAGAAGGCGTCCAAGCACAAGCCGCAGCAGCCCTCCACCAACACCCTGGGGGCTGCGCTTGCTGAAGGGCCCAAGGAGCAGTCGACAATCAAGCTGCTCACCAAACGAAGCCAGAGCAGCTTGTTTGGAAGGGCTAACAAGGGCCCTGATCCCAACGACAATGCTCATGATGGGGCTGACGAGGAAGAGGAGCATGAACAAGAGGAGGAGGAGGAGGTTGACGAAGGCGTCCTTGATGGAATGCCCACGACGCTCCTCGGCGAGATCCATCTCCGAAAGCAGCAACAGAAGCAACGACTCCTCAACCAGGGCAACGTAGCACCCCAGGGCATGCGTGCCACCCTCTTGGAGATGGACGCTGTCGCCGAGATGCAGCGCAAGCAACGCCTCAAGCAGCGCGTCAACCTTGCCTGGGAAGAACCGAACGTCGCCGCGGAGCAGACCATTTCCGACGACGAAGACACGCCCCTGGCCGTCATTGCCGCCATGCACCAGGGCGCCAAGAACATGGCCGACGTCGACCGCCCGATAGGACTTATGGAGATGCGCCAGCTGGAAGAAAACGAACCGCTGAGCTCACGCGCCGCCCGTCTTCAGGGACGAGCCTCCACCGTCTTCAACGCGAAACGCCAGAGCAACCTCAGCCTTCCCGTCACGCGCATGGCTGAAGTGCAGCCGCCAGCTTCGCCGCGCATCGTCGAGCCGGACGCGAGCGTGGTGGATGAAGATGCACGCACTACCATTGCTGTAGAACCCGAACCCCTGGCGGCTGAGATTGAGGAAGAGACGCTTGGTGCCAGGAAGCGCCGCCTGGCAGAGTCTCAGCTGCCCAAGGCCCGTCCTGTCAGCGGCACCTTTTCCGCCGAGCTCCTGGGCCAGTTTGCCGATCCCGAGGAGTCCAAGGCCAAGCCCAATGCGGGCGTAGAGGATGAGACCCTGGGCCAGCGCCGTCGCCGTCTGCAAGCTGAGCGGGAGGCCCGCGAAAGAGAGATGAGCTATGGTAACCTGACGGGTGAAAGACCAGGCGAAAGGCCAGTCAGCTACGGCAACCCGATGGTCGAGCCGCCCAGGAGGGGCGTGATGCGCCGGGTCAGCATGGCCGACATGCTGTCAGTGCACCAGAACATTCAGGACCCTCGCATTGCGGAGCAGAGACGCCAGCAGGAGGAGCACATGAAGCTTGCCCAGCAGGACGCCATGCTGGCGGCAGTCAGAAGCCAGATGCCCACCGCCCTCATACACAACGGCAACGCTCGCCCCGGAGGTTTCAAGGGAGGCCTGTACAATGATGGAACGGGCGGGCTCGGCGTGGAGGCGGCCAGATCGAGCACGGCTCTCAACGCACTCCAGACCCGCAGCTTTACCAACACCGGCTCTAGGAACCGGGCCACCATGATGGCGCCGCCCAATGGCTACGGCATGGCGCAGGGAGGCTTGCAGCAGTCGTACAGCACGCTCACGGGCTTTGGGCCGGCCGCCATGAACGGTAGAAACCCCATGGGAGGCATGAATGGCATGAAGCAGATGAGCGTGTACGGTGCTGGCAACCTCTATGGTGCCAACGGCATCATCCAGCCAAACATTGGCATTCCCATGTCTAACCCCAACGGCAGCATGGACCGAGTCGAGAGATGGCGACAGGGCGTTGCCCCATAGACGAAAGACGCATCACTAAAGACATATACATACCCTAACACACGCATTTATATATCCCACTACCAAAGACTCGCGAAAAGCATCGTCACCTAGAATCCTCACCCACTTTCCTTTGTCATTTTCGGACACGTGCCGCGAGAAACATGGGGGTTTATACGTACACCCCTTTTTTATATCACTGGGCGGGCGAATGATTACTACTATCCAGTCGCATTCGAGTCCTATAGCTTTGCCTGCCTATTTTAGTCCGATCTCAACTGATTTTTTTTCTGTTTTGCTTTGTTCATTTTGAGTGAGGGAGGGGGGAAAGGAGGGCTTGTACTGTATGGCCTAGCATTGCACGGCGCATCTTGGGAAAATCAAGTCATTTTATGCTTGGGCGACTTTTTTCCTCGGGGAAGAAGAAAGTGTTTCTTGTCTTCTATATATTTTATTTCAAAGTACTGGGCTACTTAATTTTTTTGAGATTAATTAAGGGGAGGGGTTGATAGATGTAGCGTATGTACGAATGGATTTGACTGTTTTTTCCATCTTGATATTTTTCCCGTTGATGTTTTTTTTTTTTTCATCTTGATGCCTTTTCTATCTTGATGCTTTTTCTATCTTGATGCTTTTTTTATCTTGATGCTTTTTCTATCTTGATGCCTTGTTGTGGATATTGCAATTGCGTGTGTAAGTGATAGTTGCTCTTTGACCGTAGGATATTAGATGCTATGTATCTGGTCGAACGTTTTCTGTTGGAGAAGAAACAAGAACATCCATCCACCTTGTTTATTGATAGGGATTCCGAGGCCAAAGAACGTCTCGCACTTGTGATGGTACCATTTAATGACGTGAGTTCTACCAGCACCACCGGAATGAATAGAGACATTTACTAATTGGGATTCGGATAAAAGATATTTCGGCTACAGGGAAAAAATAATGTGAATGCGAGCCAGCGGTTATGTAAATAGTAGATGTGGAGGCGGGAGAGCTCGTGGTGCTGTATTGAACTGATAGCTTGTCACACTGAAGGCCAATTTGTTTTCCCTCGTAAGTTTAGGATTATGAGTATTACCATGAGTAACGATCATACTGGTTCCCCCAGTCTTCTATATCCCTTTGCATTCGCCTTTTCTCCTCTTCTTCCCTTGCAGCGTCGTCCTTTAATCTCTTACTAACCTCCTCAAAGTATCTTTCTACAGCCTTTCCCATGTCTTCCGTAATAACAACCCGGCCACTCGTATCGTCAACAAGTAGTTGTACTGCTCCCTGACTATGTTTGTAATTTTCCATGGCACTTTCCAGAATGCCCTCTGTCATGACAATCTGAACTTGCTGCTGATTAAGAAGTTGCTGTACTAGTTTTGGAGTCCTATAGCTGTTTCCTACCGCGGCTTTCATGATCTCTTCCGTAATGACAATCTGGTCTCTCCTCTTATCAAAGAGTAGTTGTAAGACCTCTTCAGTGTTCCGAAAGGTCGCCACTGCAGCTTTTATAATGTCTTCTGTAATAGTAATCTCATGGCCCCTTCTATCAAGAAGTAATGTCATCACCTCGTGGTTTGAATTTTCTGCTGCCTTTTTAACAATTTCTTCTGTCACAGTAATCTCATGGCCCTTTCTATTAAGAAGTACTGCCATCACCTCGTGGTTTGAATTTTCTGCTGCAATTTCAGCAATTTCTTTTGTGATAGTAATCTCATGGCCTTTTCTATCAAGAAGTACTGCCATCACCTCGTGGTTTAGATTTTTTGCTGCAATTTCAGCAATTTCTTTTGTGATAGTAATCTCATGGCCTTTTCTATCAAGAAGTACTGCCATCACCTCGTGGTTTAGATTTTTTGCTGCAATTTCAGCAATTTCTTTTGTGATAGTAATCTCATGGCCTTTTCTATCAAGAAGTACTGCCATCACCTCGTGGTTTAGATTTTTTGCTGCAATTTCAGCAATTTCTTTTGTGATAGTAATCTCGTGGCCTTTTTTATCAAGAAGTAATGCCATTATCTCATGGCTGAAAAGTTCTGCTGCATTTTTAACGGTTTCTTCCGGAATTGTAATCTCGTGGCCTTTTCTATTAAGAATTAACGCCATAAAATCTTTTTTTCTTCGATATAATGGAATGTCAACAACATTTTTCGGAATATTTGTGTGCTCTCCTCTTCGGTCAAAACGTAACCGCATCCAATATGCGTCTTCGTTCCTTGTTGCAATGTTAAGAACACTTTCCGGAATAATTATCTGATCTCCTCGGCGGTCAAGCAGTAATATCATTGAATCGATGTTTTGACTTCTGGCAACAGTCTCAACAATCTCTTCTGTGATGTTGATCTGATCGCCTTTTTTGTCGAGAAGTATGTGTATCACTCTCCTATCATAGTGGGAGGTTGCAAACTTCACAAATCCTTCTGTGATGGTGATCTGGTCTCCTTGTAGATCAAAGAGCAGTGCTATCATGTCGTCATCGAAACATTTTATCATTATTTCGGAGATTCGGTCCGTTAAGACCATGTTGTGCCCCCGCCGTTTGAGAAGAACCATGATGATGTCTTTGAAACGCGGTTCGGCAATCAAGTCAATAACTTCCTCCATGATCGGGGTGTCTTGACCAGATTGTTCCAACAAAAGGTCAAGCATTTCCTTCCAGCCATCACGTTTCTTAATCGCGGTGGATAGAACTTCACTTGTAATTTTGACATGGTCTCTGGTGTTCAGCACGAGATTCATAGTTTCGGTATCGAACCCAGCCGCTATTGCTACCATCGCGTCCTCTGAGATATCCGTGTTGGTCTTGCGTAAAATGAGCTCCATGACATCCCTACCGCTCTCATAGTTGTGTGCTGCCAGTTTCACCAACTTTGCGGTAATCTCAAAGTCGCATCGAGATTCTAGCAGCACGTCTATCACGAACCTGCTATATCTCTCGTTGGTTATCGCTGCCTCTATGATGGCTGGAGTGATATTGGCACCAGTATATAACAGCAGGCGAATCATTTCATGGTCAAAGCATTTGACAGCCGCACAGAAAGCTTCTTCAGTAATGCGAACACCGGGGTTTTTGGTGAATTGCTTCAAAGAATCGTAACCTCCAATGCCGCCACTTAAGGCTCTCTGAATCATCTCCTCGGTGATTTTATGATCTTTCCACTGGAAGTTTGTTAACCATGGAATGTTGGCCTTTGTTGCAATGTCATATTTATCTTCTGCCTTATCAAGTGCCATGATTCCGGCTGCCTCGCCCCAGGCCAAGAGGCCCCGGGAACCTATCTCAGTCAACTGGGAGATATTCCTGGCGAGGATATCAACACCATCGTCAGTGCTAATATGCCGATGCCAGTTGCGCGCAGCGTAATGGAAAAGGGGGTATTGACGGTATCTTTTTTCCAGCAACGTAGAATCCCCGCAGGGTCCCGTTTCCGCAAAATCTGTGAAACACAAATATATCATACAGGTCTTTGCCAGATACAAGTTTGGATGCAGACCTCTGCAAAACTCAGCCTCGGCCAGCTGTTTACTCTTGAGAAGAAAGTCTTTGGCTGATTGATGTATAAGATAGACTTTTCCATCAGCGATTTCCAGAAAAGCTCCAACGGCACTGGTAACTGATTTCTCTGTAAGCCATACCCGGTATTCTTCAATAGACTCCTGACTTTTCGATGTCTCTTGGATGGCAAGAGATTCTTCGAGCTCATCCAAAGTCAACGCTCGCCGACTGAAGACCGTCCAAATCAAGAGCTTTTGCGCTGCTACATCTCGGCTTTGCATAATTGGAACGAGAATGCTTTCGTAAAGATCTGTCAGACGAGAAGGAGTCTTGTTGATCAATTTTTTCATGTCTGCCCGGGACAGCAAAGTTGATGCTGTTTTCAGCTTCCTTAGAACGATTGATATCCACAAGAACGTCTGCTCCATATGGCTGCTCAACAAATCGATTACTTCACCCTCGTAGTGTTCTCCTAGATCGAGCTCCTGAATCCTGCTTTGGATGAATGTCTTTAGATCATCAGAGCTAGCTTTCAGAACGATAGATGAGAATTGTCTCAGGGCTCGGCTTAAATCCGTTGTCGGACGGCTTGTCAGGAAGGCTTTGAGAACTGGATATTTTTCTTTGCTCTTTGCCAGTGGACTTTGAATCACGTTTTTGATAAAATCCAGTAATTTTTGTCTGGATTCATTATCATGGCACTCATCTAGCGCGTCAATAACGCAGTATATGGTACCGAATACCGGAGATCGAAGCAGCTGTTCCAGAATATCCCACGCCGATTCATCGCTTATAGTAGAGGCTTTGATATTGAGTTTATCGGAGATGACATCAAATGCGCCTTGTGTTGACAGTAACTGCTTAATGAGTGATCTTATAGCGGCACTCACAGTTCGGTAACTGTCGTCTTGGTCATAGAAGAAGAAATAAATAACTGTCGTGCGATAGTTGAAACTATGCTGCAAATCTTCCAAGTATTTCAGGAGGAATTTGGCAACAATTGTTTTCCCTTGACCTGGCGATCCATTCACCCAAAGGACCGATGATTCTTGAGCTTTGGACCACGAAGAGAACTGCTGAAGTTCCAAGAACCAGCCAAGAGTGCCAGATGTTGGATTGTCAATTTTGTGGTTTCTGAATGCTGCATAATCGGGAGCTTTGAGGGCCTCAATATACTGGGTTTCCGCAAACGAGAATTCTTTAAACATGATTTAATACACGCTCTCTATTTTTTTTTCTAATGCCACTCACTTGTTCTTATTCTCCCAAAGCGTTCTCGAATGACCGCCGGCGCCTTCTGAACCCATTTCTCTATCCTCGATTGAATGATGATATAGTCAGAATTCGATGCATCACTAAACTTGACGATCTCGGAATGATCTGCTTCTATTGATAGCTGATCGTAATGTTTTTCGTTGGGGCCGGCATAAATAGCCGAATTCTGTGGAACCATCATGACTTCAGGCCCTGTTCGCTCCCATGACTTGGTCTCCGAGTTCAGCTATGAAACAGGTCAGCAAGGCCTGTGGCCAAGACA